AAGCATACCTGAAAACATCAGACTTGGAGAATGCTGAGGCTGACATTAAAAGAGCCCTGACCATTGATCCAAACAACAGGTAACATCCCTTGCATTCTCTATCTCTATGCCTCTTTCACAACTTGCAAGGCATCAGGTTGATATATATATATATATAAATGCTTGTTTGGCTTGTTATCAGAGACATGAGAGTTGAATACAGGGAGCTGAAACTCAAGCAAAAGGAATACAGTAGACATGAAGCTGATATCTTCAGCACAATGCTTTCAAAGATGGGCTAGTCAAGAAACAAACTTGTATTATACCGTTATTCCCCATTTGATTATAAACTAGAAATAGTTCAATACCATTTCACTGCATAGTATATTTTCACGATCTAGTCAACTCTTACTTCTGGCATAAAAACCTGAAAAAATCATAATTAGAGCAACCAGATTATCAGATAAAGATGTAACAAACAAGCTAGTTTTGCCACGCCATTGTTTGTACCACTGGAGATTAGAAACCACTATTTGGAACTACGAATGGACAACACAAATAGAATTATAGAATAGCAGTCTTAGAAATTTAACGGAGGGATTGTAAAAGTTATATTATTCCAAATGTTTTATCCGTGCAAAACAATCTTCCAGAAAATCACTAAAAAGGAAAAAGAGAGAAGTACGTTTATGAAACCCAGTGAACTCCACACTGTATGCTTTAATTAGCTTCGAGGTTTGATGGAGTCACCTGGTAAGGAACTTTCTTGGAATCAAAGAAAACTCATGTTTGGAAAATCAGGGAGAGATCAAAAGCCTGGAATTGGAAGGAAGACGAAATTCCTTGATTCAAGTGCTTGGAAAATCATTAATACCATGCGGGTGTGGTACAACTAATAGTGACATGAGCTCCTCAAATATAATTCCAAAGTTTATTCTTTGAAGTGTGTCTGAAATGGCAGGCTTGGAGGTGGACAACCCAAATGATGCCAAGATTTCTCAAGGTAACTAAAACAAGTGCTTGGAATATCATTAATAAAATTACAAACCTAAGCTCCAGACTCTGCGATGATTCCCCATCCAAGGCGGCGTTTCAGTGATGAGCACTATTGATGAGCAATATGAATCGTCCAGATTAAAATTTTAAAATTTTATTTTTATATTTATTATAAAAAGTTATAAAATTTTAATAAATTTATTTTATAATTAATTTAGACAATACAAATTTTATATATATAATCTAATTTAATATTAAAAATTTTTATAATTTTTATAAGTTAATTATTCAGATATATTTTGAACCATTTAAATTTAATAAAAAACTTTTTTAGAGTGTTTATAATTTTTTATTTTAATAAATATAATATTAAAAAATAAAAATAAAGATAATATTCAAACTGGCACTTTAAAAAATTAAAAAAAAGTTATATTTAAAAATTTTAAATTTAAAATATCCAAAGTACCTCTGAATTGTTAATTTAAAAAATTAATATTAAATTAAATTATTTAAATTAAGTTTGTATTATTTAAATTGATGATATGATAGATTAATTAAAATTTTTATAATTTTTTATAATAAATATAAAATAAAATTATAAAAATAAAATCTTAAAATCTATACTGTCTAGATTAAAAAATTAATTTGGACGGTCCGATTCCCATCAGGTCTCTCCAAGGCGTGCTAAACGTCGGTGATTTGAGAATGAACTCCCTTTCCATGGTTTCGAGTTTCAAGCAAATAGTGGGAATTTTTTGGTTCGGAAAATAATTTTTATGAGCAACGTATGCATTTAAATTTATAAAAAAAAAAAAAAGGATACCTGAAGTACTTTCGATTTTCAATTATAATATCAACTTTTTTGTATCAACATTGCTTTCGCTACCTTTGATTTTTAAATCAAAGGTTTTTTTATATAGAATAAATCACTACCATTGATATTATTTTCATTCAAAGTTTTAAATTTTTGGGATTAAAAAAAATAAAACTAAGTTTATTTTTTAAAAAAGATTAGAAATAATATATGTATATGATACTTTTTTTATATTTTTTAACAAAAATAATACTTTTTATATACAATAGGAAGGTTTGAATTTTTAACATGTACTCATACCATACCACATCTTTAAAATGATAGTTTTAATTTAAGACTTCTCTTATTCTTTATATATTTATTATAATAAATAACATGACAATAATTACTCTCTAATTAATTGATTGATTAATTTATGCGCACATATATGTATTTGGGCCCTTCAACAAATACCCTTGGTAGAAAGATCGGGACCAAAAATTTTATCATGAGGCACATTATCATAAAATTTGAATCACAAATTGGCAAGAATTGTTTTAAGTTAATTAGATTTTCAAGATTGAGTTTTGAAAATATAACACATAAGTGGTCAAAAGCATCCAATTTTATGGTGCTTGTGATATCTTGATCTAAATTAATTTGGGTATCAAGTCTTGTTAAAGTCCTCATGATTTGAGTGAGGCAGGCTTAGGATATTTGGTGTTTATGTCAAAAAATAAAGTTTGAATCTCATATTTTAAAAACTATCATAAGATCATTAAATGTATGATTTAGATTTAAATAGAGTTAAGAATATAAGTTAATTTGAATCATGAATTCTTCTATATATGGGTTGAGAAAAATACAGGTGTGATTGTGTTCAATCCAATCTGATACAATTCTCATGAGATGGTGGGTTAAATAAGTCAACTTGCTAATTCATTTAATTTTTTTTTTTGCATAAATTTTAAAAATATTTGCATGTATAAATGATAAGTTTCAATATACTATTTCATATAGCTGAAAAATTTCACATCAAATATGTATGAAATTAATCCATTTCATCATGATTCATTTTAGATGTACAAGATTGTGGTATTAACTCATTTAATTCACGAGTTACATGGTGTATATTGAAAAATTTTTTGGGTCAAATTTTTTTAACCCAACCAGATTTTTATAATACATTATTCAAGATAGCTCATAATCTTACCCATATTTTCCACTGTAGACTAGAACGATGTTTTATGCTTTTGACTTAAAAGATTTACATGGACAGTTTTTACTTTATTATATTGACATCTTTCAAATTCAATCTCTCTGCATAGATTCGTGTGCGCATAAAGTCTACTTCCTTATTAAAATAACATGACCATAAAGAAATAATTAAATCTTCAAAAACATTTCTAAAAATAAGTGAGTGGCCTTTCTGCCCATATCATGAAACATTAATTATCATCATTATTTAATAATACAATTAATGGGCAAGATTGCAAGAGTGCTCAATATTTCTTAAACTGAAAAAAAAAAAGAAAGTGGAAGAGTACAGTTAACAACAAATATGAGTGAACATCAATCAAACATTCCCTCCAATTCTAAGTAGAACTTTAGTTATAACTATCTCACGAGTTAAAAAAGATTGTCAAAATATTAAAGTTGTTTTAATTAAAATTGAATTTATGGTTTCCAGTGTTGCTCTTATTTACTTCATTAATGCTAACATGTACTCCATTCGTATTACAATGCAGGACATTTTTTAAAAATTTTACTTGCTATAAAATATAAGATATTAACAAAATTTTATAATTATTTTTTCAACTATAACCTTACTTTATTTATTCTTTTTCTAAAAATAAGCATTAAAATTTTATCATTATCAAAACACTTATATATATTATTTAATGAGAGTAAAATTAAAAAATACAAATTTTTTAAGAAATTAAGTTTCAATTAATATTTTTTTGAGAACTATAAATTAATTATCAATATTCTATATTTTGATTTGGAAGGAATATCAACTGGCATTCACTTTTGCTGCGCTCATTAATAAAAGTGTGTATATGAAAGAAAAATAATTAATGCTATAAAAATATGTAAGGTGACTTATAATTAAAATCAAGAACACCTTCTAAAATCCGTCTTTTATTTAGGACGTACAGAATGGACTGCCAAATTTTACTCAATTCTTCCAGAATTTGCTAGCTTTAATTATTCCCCTTTCATTCATTATTGTTTTGCTTATTCAGCAAAGAGCGTTATTGCAGATCTAAAAAGAAATTTACCAGGAGATGAATTGTCATCAGGTTATATAACTTTACTTTTTGTCCTGGCCAAAAGGCGTTTAACTTGTTGATGGGCCTAATTAAAAAGGTTATATATAATAATAAACCTATTGGGACTAAACAGAATTAGAAAAAAATTATACGTTGCTTTCTTCAAGGTGAATTATGGATGGTTGCTTTAATGATATAATATGAATATGAATAAGAATGGACTTGTCATGGTTAACCCTACTGAACCAGGGGTTAACATTTGAGTTATTGATCATGCCCAGTGTGTTTTTTTTTTTTTTAAATGATGCTTACTGGGCTTAGACTACTGTTTACAGCCACAATAGTAAAAGCTAATGGAACAATCCTTTGCATATATAGCAAAAAAAATGTGGTAATTTTTATGGTAGTTTTGAGGTAAAAATTAATTAATCAATTAGTATATGCATATTAGTAAATTTGCAATGAGATCGATCCGATCCTTTAGAATTTGCTTCATATCTTTAGCCATGTTTGAGTAAGAAGCACAAGCCGCAGTATGATAGTGTACACACAGAATATCAACAGTAACAACGCCTGGAGCAGTTTGATTTAGTAGATGAATCAAGCGGAGAGAATGATGAATGCAGAGTGAGTCATAAGGAAACATAAATCCCGGGCAATAAATTACATGAAAGAAACAAAATCCACTTTCATAAAGTCCATATGTATAATAGGTCTACAGAAATAATAAGAATAATAAAATATACTCCAAAAGGGTAACAGTTGTAACCTGGAGTCTCCTTAATCATGAGTTTTGCTCAGCCCAAAGAAACAATTAATTTGTTTCCTCTTATTCGTATTCTAGTATTGCAAGATTCAGCCTCCCTGGTAAATAAATACCCCCTCCTTCTCCCAGAAAGCCACACAACACAAGTAGTCTTTGTCTGGCACATAGACACATCAAAGTCAGAAGAAGAATAATGTCGGAGAGAATGAATGTGGGAGGTGTTGAGGACAGAAAGATGAAGCGTAAGCTCGAGGAGGCGGCGGAGAAGCAGGACGAAGAGACCGAACATTTTCTGTCTCTGAGGCTCTTCAACAACGCCGACATGTCGAAACCTTTGAAGGCGGCGGGCCATGGTGGTGGTTTTGTCAGCAAGAAACCAGAGGGAAGGAAGAAGGAGTTTGGGTGCAAGTACTGCATGAAGAAGTTCAAAAGCTCGCAGGCTCTGGGCGGTCACCAGAATGCACACAGGAGAGAGAGAGTGATCTGGAAGATGGAGAAGGAACTCAGTGCTTTCGGACACCCTCATCACTTGTGTCCTTGCTCATCCATTATTGCTAACAATGGTCTTCCTTTAACACCCTCTCGTACTGCTTCGTCGTCTTCTTCTGCTCCTGCTTCACCTTTCATTAATCCGCATTTTCATCGCCACGGGATTAATGGGAGTCACAGTCGCGTGCCAAATTGGACTCATGGCTCTGCTCATCATCAAGGCCAGCCCAAACCCATTTTATCCTTTGGGATGAACACTTCTGGGAATCCAAATGCTGTGGAAAAGAAGCCTGCTGTATCCTCAGGTCTCGACTTATCCCTCAGACTCTGAAGAACAAGTTCTGCTCTCGTGACTCCAGCCCAGGATCCATGAACACACATGTGTCTTCTTAGTTTCTGCAGTCGTCTTATGTTTTACTGTCGATTTATCGTTACTGTTTGTCGTTATTTTAGAATTTCTTTTCCTTCCTTAGAGTGTGTGTATGGATCTTGGTGCTTCGCATCATTTACTGTCACTGCTTTTGTTATCTCATGTTCTGTCTGAAGATTTCTGCGTTCATGTTTTTTTTTTTTTTAATATTAAGAAGTCATCAGTGTCTAGATCTTTATTTGGAAATTGAATGAAGATTTTGAAAGAAACATCGCTCTACATGTGAATACGCAGTGGTTTTGACGTTTGCTGGGTCGTATCTCTAACATTGAATCTTAGCACTCTGATGAATCCACTTGAAGACAACAGGTCAACGATAACTAAACACCCTTCTGTGCCAGATTGATAATGATGGAGGTGTCAGTGTCACTGAAGTGAACTGAACTGCACAGATAATTTCTTACGAGTAATGTTAAGGGTATTTCTGGAATAATTGTTGTTCCCTCTGTGTAGAATGATTTCAACCCTGTTAAAGAACTAAATTGCATCTTCATTAGTTTATACTTTTTCGTTTTACGGACCAATTAATAAAATATCATTTTTGAAATCATTTGACATATTAAAATATACTTTCCATCTCAATTTATAAGATATTTTTAAATTAAATTATACTTTTCTGTTAAAAAATATAAGACATTTTTAATATTTTAAAATATAATTATTATCTTTTTTTAAAGGTGTCCCTATTAATAATGACTTTATATTTATTGTAGGATATTTAATAGGAGTAAATATGAAAAGATAGAATTAGTTGAAAAATAGATAACTACTTTATTAAGAAATGAGATTTGATTAAAAATATTTTATATTTTTTAATGAAGGGAGTAGATACTAATAATAAAGTTTGTTAAATACATGTGCAATTTTATTTTTTAAAATAAAATTATATTTTTAAAAATACCTTTTATTTAATACTTTATTTATAAAAGAATATTTAAAAGAGAGAATATAATGGAAAGGATAATATTGAAAAAGTATCATAATAAAATTTTATTTTTATCAAAGTGTCTTATATTTTAGGACACCAAATTTTCTTCAAAAGTTCCTTATGATTTAAGATAGAGATAGTAATATATTTTGATGAAATAAAACTTCATTAATTATAATTGTTCTAGTATTACCTTTCATTTTTTGTTATATTTTCTCTCACTTTATTTAATATTTTATGAGTAAGGTTATATTAAATGAAGAATATTTTTAAAAACTTTATATTTTTATTTTAAAAAATAAAGTTATAAAGTAAATTTAGTGAGTCTTATTAATATCTTCAATTTTGTCTAAAAATATTTCAGAAATTAACATGGAGGGAGTATGTTAGTATCAAATTAAAAATATTAAATTAACCACTCAGTTTTAAAGTCGATTGTGTATTGTTTTTGTTTGGTTTTTGAAACGAATTGAAAATTTTTTTTGAACACTTACCCTCTATTAATATCATAATAATCCCGACCACACGCAGTCTCGTTATTTTAAGTTAGAAAGTTGGTAAGTTCATGTAGATTTTACTTTTAAATCTGTTGATTTTGTAGCAAGAATTTCGTACATTATTTATTTATTTTTAAAAGAATGCGTATGTTTTGTGCTTTTACAAGTTAACAATGGACTCATTTCATAAACCCCCCCCCCCCACATACACACTAACACCAAAAATAGGGTGCTTTTCAGTTTTTACATCAAATATAACTAAAGAGTTTTTTTAATACTGCGCTGCCCTTTCTTTGTCAACTCAATCCAGAATCAATCTTCAAATTACAGATACCCCAGTGTCAACCAAATAAAAGATTATTTTTAATTACATTGAATCTGGAAAAAGTGACAATTATATCTCAAAATATGAGTCTTTTTTTTTAAGCTGCCTCCAAAATATAAGTCTTATTTGATAATATCCAGGGAATTAATTGCTTTCATTTTTTTTTATTTGCCTTTGTCTACAATTATTAAATCCTATGAGTAGTTGTTTTTGAATTTAGTAGAGGTTTATTTGGAAAGTGATGTAAATTTTTAATGTATTTAATGAGTATTCTCTATTTAACGCCCTTTCAGTTTATATACAGCTAGGCAAACCAGACTTAATATTTTTTAAACTGGAGAAAGTACTCTATAACTCGAATCATTGCATGGGACCCATAACTTCCATAAGAGTCTCTGTATCTCTTCACGCTTTTCATGGGAAATTCCCTCCACTTTTAGTCCTTTTCAATTCTTTCCCAGTTTCATCAATTATCGGATTAAATTTAAACAATTTAAATTTAATATTTTATAAAATTATTTTAAAATATTAAAAAATACATTTTGAATGGTGTAGATCAAATTTATAAAATATTATAATAATACTCCTTCCATTGCATATCTACACGATGTAGATGAAATTTTACTATATAAAACGTATTTACAATTTATTATTTAATAAATTCCATCCATTTAAATTTAATGCAAAGCTAAAGTTAAGGGGAGAGAATCATCTTTTTATCTTTTAGGCCAATCCCTCCCCTTCCTTTCTTACCTGGGACCTTCAATTGCATCATTTTTTTAGTATAAATCTTGTGTTTTATATGTAAGGTATTTATACTAATAATCTTATAATCTAGTGGCATGTAAATTCTTTGATAAATGAAAGATTGTGAATTCCATCCTTCTCATATTGTTAGTACTTACCCTTCTTTAAAAAAAAAAATTAAAGGTAGTTACAACTTCACCTTCCTTGAATGAATAGATGTTGTTCTGTATATTGAACATTAAATGTTTGTTTGATTTTTAGTTTATGAAAAATTTATTTATTAAAAGTTTATTTGGTGAATTTAGTAGAAATCAATTACTATAATGAAATTTATATTTAGATATATTTTTTTAAAAATTAGTTTGATAAACTAAAAGTTGTTTAAATTAATAATTATTTACACTTTTAAAATATACTTTTGAATAAATAATAACCAAAAAAAGAATTGATTTATAATAATTGATAATTTTTGTTATACAAATATAATATATTAGAAATGTTTAAAAATTTGAAAAAAACTTAAAATAACATAAAATTTAATGTTAAATAATAAGAATAAAAAATATTTAGTTTAATATTAGAAAAAATAAAAACATAATAAGGGTATCATGGTCATCTAAAAAAATACTCTCATTTGCAATTTTAAATCCATCAAAAAGTTAACTTGCCAAATCCACATTTTAACTATATTTCAACCCATTTTCAAAAAATTATTTTGCTCACATAAAAAATCCCTCAAAAACATGTAACGTCTGAAATGTTAAAAAATGAATGTGAAATGCTAAACGTTGAAAATCCAAATGCACTCTAAATTTGTCTGCGAGAGCAAGCTTCCGCACGCTTACACAGTATAGCAGGAATCTGAAGTTGGACAATGGAAGTAACTGGTACATATATAATTTTACATAATAGAGGATGGCAACCCACCTGGGTCATAGTTTGCTACTAAAGTTGACGCAAGAAAGGGATATTAAAGGGAAAAAAAAAAAAAGAGGAAAACAACGAAAGATACCTGGCAGAATGAAAAGGATTGAATCACTTCCCAATCACTGTTCCATCCTTGTAAATTTGGATTTCACCTTATAGACATCTAGAATTGCCTACTTGTGTTTTTTGGCATATAAATATACATTGACATGTAAACTCTGGCTTTTAACTATTATATGTATAGAAGATTCCTAACACCTTAACTTGCACAAGGTTCCAACTTTTGCTTCAATTCCCGCACTTCTTATCCCCAAACACGCCCAGCAAAAGCTTCTCAAGGTTTCCAGAAACGATCCCCATTCGCCTTGGTTCATTTCGCCAAATGAAATGACCCCTTTTTTACAATTCTGGTTCCATGAAGACATACTAACACTCTTTGTGAGAACCCCCTTTGTTTCATTCTCACTCTCATCGATCTTTCCAGCATCCAAGGTTTTGTTTTGATCATCCTCCTCACTCGATCCATCCATTGATCCTGCAAATGGAAAACCTGGCGTTCCAAAGCCCTTGTTCAGTCCGTCTTGAGTTGGATTGTCGAGTTGAAACATATTAAACCCTTGTTCAGTTTCTTCTTTCATCTTCTCCAGGTTGGAACCACGAGGGATAATAGCCTTGGCACGAACACAAATATCTTCCAGTTCACTAGGCATTTCCTCTCCGCCACAGAACTTTCGAGTCATCATTTGACCAATATCACCAATACAGGTGCCAGCAGCAGCAGCTTGCTTCAAGAAAATGGTGCAAACAACAAGAACCCTTATAGCACACTCCCTCAGAGAAGGAAGCTTAGTTCTTAGAAGCTCTGCATCTTTAAATGGGTCGAGTTTGGATATGTAATCGAGCTCAGACTCAGAAAAAGGAATGGAGGCTTGCGGCCAATGAAGCCACTCAAAATATGGATCATCCAGCCACTCAGGAAGGCAAAGGCCATGGTCTATGGGAACAAGATCACCAAATCCACAGGCATTATAACTATGGTGACCTTGTTTCTTCTTCACAAGCATATTTCCTGCATGTCTGTCAAGATTTAGAAGCCTGATGTCTAAGATCCCGATCTTGTGAACAGAAGCAACAGAGAAAAAGGAAGGGCCCAACTCTGCTGCATCAAAATCATGATCAATGAAGCGTTGGAGGGAAGCGATTTTACAAGGTATTGCTGATGGCACTGCGACTGCAGCATCGGTAAAATAAAAGGCAGCATGAGAGAACTTGACCAAAGCAGTGGGAGGCACACCAGCAAAGCTTCCATGGTCGAGGAAACAAGCAGCTAATTCACGTATCCCAGTTTCACCTACCCGGATGGAGTGCTTCAATCCAGGTTGGCCAAACATTCGACCCCTCAAGCCTTTTGGATTGTTGAAGGCTAAAGGTTCTTCATCTGCTGGCTTGGCCACGGCTATATCCTTGCCATTTTGGCTGCGGAAAACATAGGCACCACCTAACCCTTTTGAGACTGGAATAGGATGAGAACCAGAGGCCATAGCTATGGCAACTTCTACAACTAGAGCATGTACCGGAGCTCCACTACCACCAACTATCTCAATCTTGGGATAAGAAGCAAGCTCTTCATCTGCTGAAGGGGTTAAAGGTAGGCATGGAGTGGAGAAACTGCGGGGAATATTGTTGGATTCAATTGATTGTTTGGAAGAGTGGTTGAGACTTGTTTGGTCAAGTTCTATAAGGTTCTGATCAATGTGACCATAGGATTGGAGCTTGCATCGGCTAAATGGCTTAAACCCATGATTTTGATCTATGGCTACAGCCATTGTGGAGAATCTCATTCAGATGAGAGTGGCAGCGGCAGCGCATTCCAAATGCGATTATACTATTAAAAATGGCCGGAAAATTAGTTTTCTGAAGGTGACGACATCTGCAACTTCAAAACAAGAGTTTCCTGGAAATGCTGCATATGCAGAATTAATACACGTGATTGAGATATAGTAAAAGTGGCAAGATATAATAAAATGGGCAAGGAAACCAACCAACACATGTTACAAGAGAGGTCCCCCATAGTGCGTAAATCTTCCAGACATGAAGTTATAAAAAGAGCCTTCAGTAATTGCATGGTTGTAATTAAGAATAGGAAATGAACATTCATATGCCATTAATTGTAAGTGCGAGAAATGAGAGAAATTAAAGAAGAAAATTTATACGCACTTATCACAATTTAATGAATTTATTGCTTCCCAGACACTCTGTTGGGCAAGAGAAGTGGCAACTAGAGGCAAATGAATCATTTATTACCCCAACTGTTCAATTTTTGTAGCGGAACGCTGACTTGATCAAATGGAACCATGAAAAAACAAAATCAACGTTTTCGTGATATCTGTGATTTTCAAAAACACTAATCAAATTTGTCATGCAGCTCGGCTTATCAGTTGAATACAGGATAATAGAAGCGATCATATTCAAAGAAAATAATAAGCAAGGGGGGTGGGAAAACTTGAGACATCTGTCTCCACAATTTAAGCTTTCGTTGAAAATCATCTGTTCGAACAATTATCATCCCTAAAAATTACGTTATACGTGATTAGCTATCACTCGTAAAACAATTGTTATGTTTGATGATGTCATTCAATAACATGCATGATCATCATTTTACTTGCCATCCCTTGATATCATACAGGAACATATATGTAATATATGTATATGAATACAACAGACTGACAGATTTAAAAAAAAAAAATGCAATTCAATTCTTACCGAATATTGTTCGAAAGGGGTACATTCAAGATGAGGGCTTAAATGCTGGAAACAAAACCGAAAGGCAGGCTGTCTTGTTCACATTTTTATTGAATCCCTCATAACCTGCACGGTTTTCAAGGAGAAAAGAAGAACCGGTGAAGTTTCGATCGAAGAAGAGCGAAGAATAGAAAACATACTGAGAGAGAAACAGTAAGAACAAAGCAGAGCCCTGTATACAATATTACAATACAGGTGCTGCATGCAAGAAGACCCAGATTGAAAAAAACAGAGAGAGAGAGAGAGTGACAAGGCCATCACGAGATCTGAAACGCAGTCATTGATGAATGACAGAGATGAAAATTGACATGCATGAGAGAACATCTGAAATAAATCAAGTGAAAAGGCGAAACAGAAAACAGGAAAGAATTACCCTGAACACTGGTAAGGCATTCAGGGGAAGCCATGGAGAAGCAAAGGGAGCGCAGAGAGAACGAAACAGAGACCGGAGCAAATGGAAAAAGGATTCCACCGCCACCCCCACACACCCTGCCTTAATAAGAATTCCCTCGCTATCCTCTTATGCCTCTGCCAGGTGCTTTCTTTCTCCTCTGCCTCAATCCAATCCACCACACTGCCTGCGTTACTATTTTTGCTCTTTTCCCTATTTGGGGCCTCCCCTTCCCGCACCATGTGACATTCAAATCGATGCCTGCATTTCGATCGTCAGTGTCAGACATGTGATGTGATCCTCCATTATGCTTTCTGTCTTCGTGCCCACCGGGGCCCACCTTTTCATCCCTGGGGCCCGCACCTCCCTTTTCTACTGACTCCCATTCACTTCATGCGTCGGGTCTGGCCTGCACTGATTAACTATTATAAATTTAAGAAAGTTTGTTGAAATGCTAATATTTTTTTAAAAAACTTTTTAATTATCTTGTCACAGAAAAGCTAGTTTCTTATAATTTAATAAAGAAAAATTTAAATTTTTATTAAAAAAAGTACATATATTTAATACATAATTGTGCTTTAAATAAAAGTATTTTTAAAAAGACGACATTTATCAACAATAAAATTTTTTAAATTATCCCATTAAATAGTACTCATAAGAACTAGTTAATATCTTATATTTTAAATTATTTAATATTTTTAAAAAATTTCTATACTATGAACGTAAGGGGGAGTATTTTTTCACTGAAATTCATAGATCATATTAATACTCCGTTTATTACGTCTGTGCTTTTATAGAATAAATTTTTGTTGTCGCCTTTAGAATTTCAAAGCAATATTTAAAAGACACTTCTAATTTTTTTTTTGCTAACTATTTTTTTAATACTCTCATTTAATTTAACAATTTAACTAGCTTATTTAATATCGTTAATTAAACACTTACATTTATTTAATACAGTTTTTGGAGATGAGACCAAGTTGCACAACGGTCAACAGATATAAGCAATTAAGGTAAAAAAAGGAGAACCATAATATTTAAGGAATAGTACGAGGGAATTTATTTAGTGAACGTCATGCCTAGGCGTATCTACTCAAATCTGTAAAAAGAAATGAAAGCGACGCTTATTCTTGCATGCAAGCAGGTCGCATAGTACGGGTTGGAAGGTTCAAGACCGGACAGGCAATGCGTCCTCTGGTTGAATTCCATTGGACACAGAAGAGAGAGGCTTCTTGACCCCACCGCTGGCATTCTGCTGCTCCCCAGGAGCTAAGCTTGCTCCCCTTTCCACGCCTTTCTTGGGAAATGACCTTCCACTCTCACGTACGAGATCATTGATGAGGGATGTCATCTCATTATCCTTCAACAAAGACTCCAGAGTCACGTGTACACCTGATAACAGTTCAACGCACAAAACCTCAGCCTTGTGTCTTACTAGGTAGAGTGAGCATAATGACTAGGATTGAGGACTTACGATATCTCCAGTAGTGCTTCGGGTTTGTTGGGTCGTTGATTGTCTCTTCATTTGCAGGGCGTGTCGCATATTCTTCTTTCAGGGCCAGCAAGTCCTGTCCACCAGAATGCATGACAAGAGTTACATGCAGGGATAACATCATGAAGGCAGACCAAGTTCTTTCTTTCTACTTCAACGAAAATTGATGGTGCTGACATGTCTGTTAGAACTTGGAAGAAGAATACCTGGAGAGGGAAAATGGCCCACATTGATGGGGATTCAATGTGTTGCTTTATAATGAAATATACAACCTCTGGAACACATCGATCAGGAGGCAACATGTCGGACTCCATCACGCTCCTAAAAAATCGTAGCCTTCTGTCTTCATCTTCTTCCCACCATGCTCGCAAGGTAGCAGCGTCATGACATGATGGGGCACACACCTGCAAAACATGGCCATCAGCCCATCAAATACTTCAGAGCACAGACCTCCTAATTTTAACACTGCCACATGGCGTGAAAAATAACAGTTTCCCTACTATTTCTCAATTCTTTCTTCAAATCAGCCTGTTTTGCCAGTTTGCCTATGAAAGATGGAAGGTAAATGTTCTTTATATTCTTCGAGTACCTGCTTAATACCACCTCCTAACTTAATTAATCAAATAAATATTTTAACTCCTGTTAATTTTAATAGCGTCTTTACTCAACAAAATTTGCCAATCATTCTAACGGATAACAGTAAAAGACCTGATACCAGATGGTAAATTTGGAAGCACTTCTGAGTAAAGAGTGAGAGATGAATAAGATGATATTGCAGATAGTATTGCGTTCATAAAAGATGGCTCAGATTGAGCTTAAAAAAACAGTAAATTTTCATTCTCGACAACACAAGATCAAAGGACTGCATGATGACCGTTGAAATAATTTTGCTCAACCATCTAATTAGGCATTGACTAAGAGTTCAACCTGGCTCCCAAAAACGGTAAGTTTCTTCTTCTAACTTTTCAGTGTTGCTTGCAGATATATCAGCAAATTTGAATTTTACAAGCAAACAGAATACTCATATAAAGGAATGGTATAGGTAGCAACGATAAAGGCATGCATCTGAAAAGGACATAACACAACCAGGTAAAATATTTTGGCTATCGTTGGCTTTGTTAATTTAGACAACTAACTTCTCAACGGATATTCCTTCTCCATTAGATGGTTTTACTTTTTACATGGCGTTATTTATCAAGCAAAAGTTGAAAAATGTTACTTTCTTCTTGTACAACCATACAAATTACAAAAGAAAATAAAAATTCTTACCGTCATGTAGCTGTATTGAGAAGGAATACCAAATTCTAGATCAGGTTCACTGGGCATGCGTTGAATGCGCAGCCCAAGTAATCCCAGTTCTTGCATAACCTGCACAAACAAAATTTTGAAAGAAAATCTTTCTCTGGTCAAAAACGAAAATAGAAAGAAAAATCTTTCCAATATCTTTAGTATAAGTGGAATTTTGTGTGCCAAGTCTCTGACATACGGGATGAACACATGAAGGAATGAGGCCAAGATCTTCCCCACAGGTTAGCATGTCTGATGCGTTCATAAGTACAGGGAGAGTCTTCAAAGCATTTGCCCTCCAAAGATTCTCTTGTCGGTGGAAGTAGTAGTCATAGTACAATCTTTTCAGAACATTTTTGCTGTACAGTGATGAATAGAAACAGATCTTGTGAGATAGTATCTCAAGGAAGTGAAAATTTTGCACCAGATATAGATTCACAAAGTAGCAGTTGAAATATGCTATACATGTATACATACACTAAAAGCTGGTTTATTAATTTAAGATAATACCTATGATCATCCAAATCCTTAAAACTTGAAGTATCTTCTAGGTTGAAGCGAGGATAGAATTTCCTAGCATCCTCTGGATCTTGTATTAGAACAATGTTCTGCAAGACAATAAATAGTTTACATATGTAAATATCCACATCAGCGAAAGAACAAGAGCAGAGAAGGAAAAGAAAGAGGAAGCTAAATTGGCAATGCTTCACTACCTGTAGTAGATCAAAGAGATTGCGTCGGATTTTGTCTTCACTCTCAAATAAGGACCCATCCGCAAATGATTTTAGCTTGGCGGCAATTTTCTTCTCCGTGTTACAATCCCCCTTGAACTAAAAAATCATATATGCAAAGTAATACTATTTAAGCAAGACACTTCAAGTCTCAACAGAATATTGATAAGGCAAGAACGACATAGAAAATTCAAACTCAGAAAGATCACATTTAAAATCAACCAACGTCCGAGGAGATTTTACTTTTCATTATACATGATTAAATTTCTAATCTCCAGTGGGATACAACTAAATCCAACATGCTTAAGTGAATTAGACGCATTTACCCAAAAAAAGTAGTGATGAATGATGATGATGAAGATGTTATGACAGTAATAGTACAGTTAATGTATATGTGTATTATTCACCAAAAAAAAAAAAGTGATATGTGTACTAAAACGTATGGTTCCGGTGTGGTAGAGCACGCTCCTTCAGATAAGCTAGATACATGCGATTATACACTCTAATCATAAAACACCTTTAAAAATAAAACCAATGCATTCATCTCATTGAAGATGAAGGTGAACAAAGCACGGACAAATTGAGTAAGTTTCATGAAATCAAAGCTAGGCAAGCTTACTGGAATAAGAAAATTTCTAAAACATAAAAATCTTAATAAATGGAAGAATGATCACCTCAAAGCATTGCTTCTCATATTCATTCAGAAAAGTTGCTGCAACAAAAGTCCAAGAATCTCCAAATTTTTCCTGAAAGCAAAACGTAGAGGATACAATAGAATATAGACAATAGACATCAGTATCACACATTATGAAAAACCGGATAGCAGCAGGCTGAAGCATGAAAGGACACCATTTCCAAGTTATTAAAATAATTTGCAGCTTTAAAGGAAAAAACTGGCCTGTAAGTGTCCCAGCCTAATGTATGGGCGACTCAGGCGATTAAAGTCCCATATTCCTTCACTTTCAAGTTCTTCCTACAATAGAAAATTTAGCTCAGATGTATAATAATTAAATAGTCTAAAATGGGAAATTACATATTTATTTTGCTAGGTAGAAAGGTTCGGCCTATATTCACCAAGAAAGTGCGTTCCAATTTAAGAGAACAGAGGGATACCTGACCAAGGGGAATGGATGGTCGAAATTTTCCAACTAGACCTGTCATAGCATGATCAGGAAGCTCCCAGATTCGGAAGAATCCCAATATGTGATCGATCCTATAAGCTGTAAAATATTTTGCCATCTTTCACACACAGAAGGAAATAGTAACTATCAGATATTTTTCCCCATTAAGAACAGAAAATTATAAATCTTATGAGACAAAACCTGTGTTAAACGAGATCGCCACCAAGCATAGTTATCTTTTGACATTTCTTCCCAATTATACGTAGGAAAGCCCCAATTCTGGCCATTTTTATCAAAATAATCTGGAGGTGCCCCAGTTGAAGTATTCATTCGGAACAAATTTGGATAAACCCAAGTATCCACACTGTTTTTGTCAACACCAATAGGAAGATCTCCCTTTAGTACCACTCCCATCTTTCTAGCATATTCTGCAGCTTCCGACAGCTAGAAGTTTGAGAAGAATGCAGACAGTTAGGTTTTCTAACATTAAGCAATTTACTGCACATGAAGTAGAACTGATGGGATAAGGCCCATTCAACTTACTTGTAAATGTAAATGGTATTGGATATAGTAGTGGAAGCAAATTATGTCATGATGTAGGCTTTCCTTTATACAAGTTTCTCAAGCTGTAAAACAAAAAGGTCTTTGATATACCAGGTTTCAAGAGAAAGGGCCACATATATAAGAAATAACAATAAGTCGCATATACAAAAGAATCCAAAAACCTAGATCATAAAAATCTCTATATGATAAGAAATAAGAAAAGATTAAAGGGACATACCTTATCCTTTGAATAATGAGAAAAACGACCCCACTGACTGTGATCTGATGTTTCAAAAAAATCCCGCAGGAAACAGAAGGCAGCATAGGGTTTCAACCAATCCTTTTAACACCAGAAATAGAGCTGAGTTGATGTATAAATTAAAACAACAACAATTTATACTATATAAGACATATATGCTCAACAGCCAATATAATCAATGTCAACAGCCAAATTCAAATAGAATAAGGCCCAAAAAAGGCAGAGAAACAAAAAACTAAGATAGATCAAAGATCTTTGGCCAAACATTAGAAAGTGTTGAGATGAACAAAGACCTCATTCTCAGAAAAGAACTTCTGGAAGGAGCTAGAATTCAGTATCAAATTCTTCTCCAGGGCAAAAACTTTCTTGGCAATCGAGAGTTTAGTGGCCATTGTAGCCTCATAATCAACATCCTGTAAAGAAAAACATTAAATTTA